AAAATGTATATTATAAGCGTTAAATCATTCCTTGATTTTCTGTTCATCTCTCGATATATGGGCTCAACGAGCATTTAGCGAAGCAAAATGGTTATTAATCTTCGAAGGCGCGCGTGAAAGAAAGAGCGAGCGAGAGAATAACAATGATATACTTATGATTTTTCTCGTGTGTCGCGCTGAAAAGGCGCGAGCGAGATGCTTTTTTCACACTACACTCACGCGTCGCTTTCTTGGGACCCGCCGAATTATTATTTCACCCGCGGTAGTAGTCGTTCGCACGAGCGAGTCTATTCAGAAGAAATGTTTTTGATTTAACACTTGCCCTCGCTCGTCATAGCGCTGCTACGTAGGACTTTGACGTTTGGACAATGGGTCTCTCTTTTTTTTCTCAGCTTTAATATAATGAGACGAGGAGACGTGCGCGAGCACGCAGAAGAAAAACAGGTGCGATTAATATAAATTCCATCGTGTAAACCGCTTGAGTCTCAATATATATATATATATTACACATTTCGATCTCGAAAAGGTGCGAAGCGTTATACATAACTACGTCGTCGCTCCGGCCGCTTCGAATTGAAATATCGAGTTATTTTACGAGCTGCGCTCGCGCGACGTAATGCATGCTCAGCTGCAGCGGCAACGGCAGCTGATTTAGCGGTGTGCCGGGCCGGGCAGAGGCACGATTATTAATCGCCGAGTGCACTTTAGCGCCTCGCCTATGCATTAAATCGATGCTCTGCTCGTATAACGGCGAGAGAGGCAGAGCTCGTCGTGTTAACATCCTAAACGAATTCGTTGGTGCTTCAGTACAGATAGGTATTATATATATAGACGACGACGATGACGACGATCGCTCGGAAACACGTGTTTCTATAATAACGCGCCGTGCAGCGGCGGAGCGAGCTTGCATCGCGCGCTCGAGGAGAGGTGGAAAAAAATTAATTATATACAGCTATAAAAGCGAGAATATTCGCCGGTAAATTGGATTCACCTCTCCCCGTACCGAGAAAACCAAAAAAGATAGACGACGACGAATTAGACGCGCGCACAATGCGACCGCGTGTGTATTTATTTTTAAATGCAGTCTCTTAATAGTGAACTGTATGAGTGCGTATATAGCAGCAGTATTACAAGCTCTTGGTTCTTTTGCGCTCCGACTGCAAAGCTCTCCTATATAATCTAGTATTTTTGAGACGCGCAGACGTCTGCGTATTTGCGCGCGACACACGCGAGATTATCGTACGTGTATTGCGCGCTTTATATACTTATGTGTATATGTATATAACAGGCAGTTTAAGTTCTTCCAGAATAAGCCCGCTTGCCTGCGCCCGCGTGTCTGGCCGCGGCACTGTAAATTCGTCGTTGTCGTTCCTTTTTTTTTTGTTTTTTTTTCGTTTCTCCATATACACCCGAGAGACACAACTGCTGCACCGAGCCTAGAGAGCGAGAAACTATTTCGAGGCTGTTGCACGGCTGGACGCTCCTAAGCTGTGTACGACTCATTATTATGATTATTATTATTATCATATAGCTACTACCGTCTGTCGCGCGACCATGCCAAATGATCGAAATCGTGCGTTGTGTCCCGAGCCTCGAGAGGCTACGATATTATATTATGCATTTTTCGCCGGACGATGAAAAGAAATGAGAGAGAAAAGAGCTTTAAGCCGCGCGCCGAGCAAGAGTTTTATAAATCTTCGTGTCAAAAACGCGTAATCCGCGCAGCTATACAATAATAATAATCGTATGAAACGAGAAAACGACGCGAACGACACATGAAAAATTATGCATCTCTCACGCGTATATAACTGTATGAGTCAGAGACGAACGATTATTATATTCCGTCGTTCCTTTATTTTATTTTACTTTTTATTTTTTCTAAACACATCGGTAATGGAATTATCGCAGCAAAGCACGCGCCAGAGCAAAGCAGAGAGCTATATGTAACCATTACATATGTATAGACGATCACAGCAGCAGCGACGAAAATAGCCAAGCGCGAAATATCCCTCGGAATTTTTATTATTTTTTATTATTATTATTATTATTTTTTTTTTCAAAATCAAATCCGAGAGTTAAGTTAAGTGTCGATGTTTTAATAAACGAGAGCAAAGCGTAACACAATATACAACGTCACGCTCGTTCAGGCTACAATTATTTAATTTAAAATATATATTACGCTGTGAAAAAGTTACTTTTTGGAAACTTAAAACATCGCTACTCGATGATGATGATGATGATGATGCCACGCGCGGGCGTGAAAAATTTATGGATCCGATGACAGCTCATCTGGCCGCTGCCGAGTCTCCGATACACGTATAGTTCGACGCGCGAGATTTTTTTTTGGTAAAATCTTACGCGACGCGACGTCTCGAGCTCGTAATCACCACGCACGGTGAATTACGAGCGAGAAAAGAAAAACAATTTACCAGGCGCGTCAACAGGTGTCGCTTTCGAATCCAAGAGTGAGTTCGATCGCGATCCTGCACAAATGGGTCGCGTGCTGCACTATTATTCAGCATCTTAATTGGACTTGCACGGAATAAGTTGAGCAATCCGTCGTCGTCGTCGGGTGACGTCTCTCATTGAAAAGAGGATGGACGACTCGCGCACACGTATACGCCCGCGTGCGCTGAGACATTATTACAACATACGGAAGAAACATTAATCCGTCGATTTTCGACCAAAATTAACGCCGATGAGAAGCGCATCCATCCTATATATATATTAATGAAATGACGAAACTGCTTGACGCGTGCGAATCAATTAACGAAAAGAGCAGCTCATCATCGTTTTTTTCTCTCTCCCTTCTTCGTTCAATCTCATAATTTCAAACACATCTCACGGCGACGTCATGTGAAATTTACCACTCTTCTTTTTCATTTTATTTTATTATTTTTTTTAATAATAATACGCGTGACCTCGTGGTACCACCACTATACCGAAGATTAAAAACGCCAGAGTTGACTCTGCATAACGCTTTTGATCGACAGCGCTTCTCTGGATTCGCGAAATGGATTTCCGTTAAAATTCGACGTGCCGTTACGATTATTATTTTTTTATATTATTATCGAACGCGCCCAGGACGATCGCGCATATATCGAAAGAGAGCGATTAGAACACGTTCCGTGTGATAAATCCGTATATAAGCCGGCTTAAACATAAGAGAAGACAATGGCGAGCAGCTTCGTCACGGTAAAAATATGCTTATCCTCTCGCGTATACCACTTTATTATTATATTTATATCGATCGTTTTGTCAATTTACTTGTAAATCCGCGCGCGCGGCGGCTCTCGGAGTCGTGTCAAGTCTCAACTTATTATAAATACGTATATAGCTCGAGTCATAGTTGCGGTTGATAATCATTGTTATTATACTTGTGCGTGAAGCTGTGCGCACGGGGTTGACGTCACGCTCTTTTTAACCCCCCCCCCGGTAAATATATACAATGAAGCTCGAGCAAGTCATTCTCCACCCCCGCGTCAGGTTGAATCATCGCTGCATCCCCTGCGCACCCGCGTGACTACATCTCGAGTGAGATTAAACACATTAGTCATTCCCGCGTAGACGAGAGTAAAAGCTTAAATTCTACACGATGGAAACGAAGTACAAAGTAATTTTGCCACTGTTCGAACGAGCAACGATATCCGCGATTGCACTCGACGAAAAAATTCTCTCTTCTCTCTCTCTTTCCCTTGCGTGCACATCCTCAATCCTTGTACACAGGATAGTAAACGCGCTCGGGGGGCTCTCTTTCTCTCTTACGCTGCAATGCGAAAATTGTGCTTCATCGAAGAGATTATCCGCGGCTTTCCCACGCGCGGCTGTATATACATCGTCCGGTGGTGGTGCGCACACGTTCGGCTCTATCGGATGTTCGTGCAGTCGGCGTGCAGTGCGGCACAAGTCGATACACACACACACACATATATACATAGGTAGTGATCTGTTCAAGCTCAATTTGGACATATACCTATCTATATGGGACGCTTGAATACGTATGCCTGGTTGGATTATAAAGGCCACCGCACGCGCGCGCGCGCGGGTACTCGTGCACGCACGCACCACACGACTTTTGCGCTCATGCTGCTGCTGCTGCTGCTGCAACCTTGACTCGTTCATAAACTGTACATTGTAATTCCCCTCTTACTCTCTTTTCTCCCTCCCTCCTTTTTCTCTGCCTCTTTGCTCCGCGTGGATTTTTTTTTTCCTTATTTTTTTACACGGTTTTTGCGCGCTCAATGGTAGCAGCAGCATCAGCAGCATCTCTCTCTCTCTCTCTCTGTACGAAAGGGGACGTCTTAGAACGCGAGAGAGAGAAGATATCGGACACTTTTTCGGTACTCTGTGCTCTGCTTCTGTGTTTTATGTCGGCTCTTCTTCTTCTTCCCTTTTTTTTTGTTGTTGTTGTTTTTTATCTTCTTCGTTTTGCGCTGCTGCTGCTGCAACGCGACGTACGCACTACACTACTTCCTTTTACAACGCTGATCTCTTGAAGTCATATATATATATATATATAGTAGTACATGCGCGTGTGTGCTGCAGAAACTGGTTTTTCTCTCGGCTATATATGGTCCGTCTGAGACACACTACTACTTGTATATGTGTGTATATAATATCACATCCGACTTATGCGTTCGGATAACGATCTTCTCTGTTCTCTTGCTGCTTCGATTTGACGCCTCTTCAAAAAGCAAAAAGCAAAGAAGCAAAAAAAAAAATGAGACAACTACTACTAATAGACCCCGCCGATACATTAGCGCGTCGTTGTTGTACGTTATGTATGCATATATTTTATCAATGATACGCCGAGAGAGCCGCCGACGTTTGTTTCTACATCGTCGAGTATAAACATGTCGTTTTCGATGATCGTATCCATTCGAGAGTTAATATTATAACGTCTCAACGAGTCGTGTGTGTGTGGCTTTTAATAATTTTATATCTTTGTACTCGCAAATTACTCATACGATGGTTTTTTTTTTATTTTGTCCGTTGCGCAGAGTACTCAAGGGCAACAATTTCGCCAATCTGGACTTCAGCGCGCTGAGAAATCTGCCGAAACTCGAGGAACTGTAAGTCGATATTCAATTACTGTACGTGAAATTTATTAAGGAAGAATTAATTTATTGATGCGACGACGTTTATGTGCGCAGCGACGTCAATTCCAACGTGCTCGGTGACAATTTCACGCTCACCTTGTCCGAGGATGCCCAGCTCAAGTGGCTGAAGATCAATAAGAATCGCTTGACCAAAGTACCCGAGCTCTCGCTGTTCTATCTCACCCATCTGTTCCTGTGAGTATTTATATTTTTATTTTAATATACGACCCGCAATTAAGCTCGCAGATTTACGCTCCAAGCTGCGCGAAGAAACAGATAATAAACACAAATCAAATATCCATTAAAGAAAAAAATCTCTAAGCAATCAGACGCGCGCGCGCGCAGTAATTATTCCGATTTCGCACTTCGGGTCTTCGCGACGCGCGCACGAAGATTTATCGCTTTTCTAATGACTACTACTACTAATTTTTTCTTCTTCTTCTTCTTCGCTCCTCGATGCGATTCTATTTTCTGCTAAATTCGCTTCATTTTTTTTTTTACGTAATTTCTTCTTTAGATCGCACAACGCAATCGACAGCGTCAGCAAAAGCTCCTTGATCCATTATCCGGAGCTTCAGAGTCTCGATCTGAGCGGCAACAAGCTGACCTCGCTGCACAAAGGATCGTTCATCGCGCGGAAGCTCAAAATACTGTGAGTACATGCATAATATGATTATAATTCGCGCGTGATGCGTGATTTTTTTTTTTTTGCTGCCTTAACAAGGAGTCTCGTTATTTTATATCGACTGCTTATTTTTGTTTTCATAGAAATCTCAACTCCAATCAGATCAGCACGATCGAAGACGGAAGCTTCGAGGAACTGAGCTCTCTGCAAGAGCTCAGATTGAACAAGAATCATCTGACGGTGCTGAAGGATTACTTGAAGAAGCTGGATAAGCTGCGAATTCTGTACGTATCGTGCTTTCAAAATATCCGTCAATGGACTCAGCATCTGACCAATAATTCTCTTTTTAAACAACAGCGAAGTGAATCGCAACGAGATCCGCGCGATCGAGGGCCTCACCTTCAAGGAGCTCAAGGGCCTGGAAAAGCTCCGCCTCAAGCGCAATCGCATCGAGACCCTCAACGACGGCGCCTTCTGGCCCCTGAACAATCTCACCGAGCTCGCCCTCGACTTCAACGTACTGAAGATCGTGCCCAAGGGCGCGCTGTTCGGCCTCAACCAGCTGCAATCGCTCACCCTGTCGCACAACAGGATCAGCCAGATCGAGCTCCAGGCCTGGGAGATGTGCAAGGAGCTCACCGAGCTGGATCTGTCGCACAACGAGCTGACCCGCGTCGAGCGTCACTCCTTCGCGATGCTTTACAAGCTGAGAAAACTGTCGTTGGATCACAACGGGGTGTCTTACATAGCCGAGGGTGCCTTCAAGGATCTCTACAATCTCCAAGAACTGTAAGCGTATCGATTTTTTGCATCGACCTCCTTATATACTTACAATGTCTCATTGTGTTTCTACTTCACAGCGAATTGAACTCGAACAAGATATCGTTCGTCGTCGAGGACGCCATCGGAATATTCCTGCCGCTGACTCAGCTTCAAAAGCTCGGCATCGCCCACAACCAGATCAAGTCGATCCACGTGAACGCGTTCGCCGGCCTCGCTCAAGTCACCGAGCTCGATCTGACCGGCAACAACATCACCAGCATCCAGGAGAACGCCTTCGCGGGCATGTCCTCGACCCTCGGCTCGCTGAAGATGAACACCAGCGCCCTGTTCTGCGACTGCGGTCTGCAGTGGCTCAGCGTGTGGCTTCGCAAACGCGACCAGACCACCCTGAGCGAGACCAAGGCGCACTGCGGCTATCCCCAGTGGCTGCGAGGCAAGTCGCTCAGTCAGCTGCATCACGCCAACTTCACCTGCGACCAGTTCCCGAAGCCGCGAATCGTCGAGGAGCCCGCCAGTCATCTGAGCATCAACAAGGGCGACAACATAACGCTGAGGTGCAAAGCCACGAGCACGGCCAATGCGCCGCTCACCTTCTCGTGGAAGCACGACAACACGGAGATCCTGGATCGCACCCTGCAGACCGACAGCGAGCAGATCTACGTGGACGGGGTGAGCGCCGCGACGTCGGAGCTGCGTCTGACCAACATCACCAATGCCCACGGTGGCAAGTATCAGTGCGTCGTTTCCAATAGTTACGGCAGCTCGTACTCCGGCAAAACTAGAATATCCGTACTCGGTAAGTCATGGGGTTTGTATGGAATGACTCGACTTTAATCTGGATCAGATCTAATTCGCGACTCGTTCTTACCTTGCAGTATTCCCGTCGTTCACCAAGATGCCCGTGGACATCAGGGTGTCGGCCGGCAACATCGCCCGACTAGAGTGCTCGGCCGAGGGTCTGCCCATGCCGCAGATATCCTGGCAGAAGGACGGCGGCAACGATTTCCCGGCCGCCAGGGAGAGACGAATGAACAAGATGCCCATGGACGACAAGCTCTTTATCGTAGACGTGAAGGCGGCCGACTCGGGCGTCTACTCCTGCATGGCGCAGAACCTCGCCGGCAACATCACGGCCAACGCCACTCTCACCATTCTAGGTGCGTCATCGACCATTATAATTTTACTTATACTCGCTAACATTGTAATTGCTCATTGTTGCGAGAAATATACGATTTATACGCGCTGCGTCGATGATAGCCGACCGACGACGATAAGTCTCGCTCTGTCGCACGTGAGTAGTGCGCATTGTGCAACGCGCGCATTGCAAATTTTATGCATTCTCTCATCTCCGCGACGACGACGACGACGACGACGTAACGCACATCATTCATCGCAACGATTGTGCTATATGTATATGTGGATTATCACGCGGCGTTCACTAACCATTTCTATGTAAATTTTCCCAACAACAGAGACACCGTCGTTCGTCAAACCAATGGAGAACAAGGAAGTCATCGCGGGCGGTTCCATAGTCCTGGAATGCATGGCCAGTGGCTCGCCTCGACCGCAATTGTCTTGGCGCAAAAACGGCCTGCCGCTGCAGGCGATCGAGAGGCACTTCTTCACCGCGGATAATCAGCTCTTAATCATAGTCAACGCGGTGCCGAGCGACGCTGGCAATTACGAGTGCGAAATGAGCAACTCGCTCGGCACTGTCACGGATACCTCGGTGCTCACGATCATCGCGGCAGGTATGTGTTGTATACATATGCACTTGACTATTCATTCCCTCGCACCTATTTATGCTCGTTTATCAGTCGCGTCTATCTTCATTTCGATTACGTATTGACGTTTTAATTACGTCGTTTTGCAATAGACGCGCGCGTTAACGCTCATTTGTCCTTGCGTACTTTTACACGTTTAGTACATATGTAACTCGTTGATTTGACTGAAAATATGTTTGCAGCTTCGCCATCGTCCATTTCGGAGGAGCATGTATTGGGTATCATCATTATCGCCGTGGTTTGTTGCGCCGTGGGCACTTCGCTCATTTGGGTCGCCATCATCTATCAGTCGCGAAAAAAAAGCATAAACAAAGATGCGCAGAGTTCTGGCGGACAGGCGGGAGGTGCCATCGGTGGTACGGCCCAGACCGAGCACGAGACTCACCTCTACCTGGACACGAGCTCGCAGCATAGCAAGGACAGCGGTACCGGCGACAGTACCAATCCCAGCAACGATCAGCTACAAATCTGCCTACCTGGTGAGTTCATAGCTTTGATTCCTCGTTCATTTTTGTCAGTTAGAACTTTTTTAACTCAATTCATCTTGTTATTAAAAATAGACGGAACAGCGCGATGCACCGTCAACAACGAGGAAGATGCGAACGACGTCGAGGGTGACGATCCTCTTCTGCCCTATACGAATCACGAGCGATCACACCGCTACAGCGAGGTGCACGAGATCGAGGTTCTACCGGAGGTAGAAGAATCCTATGAGGAAGAGCACGACGCTGCTAGCACCTCACTCACCAAACAAGTATTTCCTTAAAATGTGTGTCTCAGCTTCTTCTAAGCCCGGTGAGATGTCAGGCTTGGAGAGTAACGCATACTCTGCGATTAAAAGTCTTTAATAATTTTATTCTCGTGCGCGCTCGTTTTAATTATAATATATAATACGTCATCTCGTTAAAAAGACAAAAATGTGTATGTAATATTGTAAATAGTCAGGATTGAGCAATGTACTTTTTTGCTCGATTGCCATAGAAGATGTGACGTATCGGATACACGTCATTATATAGAAATACAAAAGTGAGAGGATCCTTGTGCATGATATATTAATGCAAAAACTCTCGCACTCGGGTGTGTGTGTCGCAAACGTACGACAAACAAATCGACATTTTTTTGATGTCCGTTTATGTTGAAGTAAGTAAGAGTCTATTCGTTAGGAATATTAGACGTATTTTTTAACTACATAAACCATGCATTGATTCGACGCACCATGACATATTTCAAATTTAACCTTTTGAAAAATTGTTTCATTTGTTTAACGAAATACTTGGAACATTATTTTGGCATAATATTTCAAGTGCATTTGTACTGAAAAGGTAAATGTCATTAATCTTTTGCAAAGTAATTACTAGAGAGGTTAATATTTTTCATCGTGTCATTTCATTTTAAATACGATTCTACGAGTATTATACATTGCGAGCTCATTTTTTGTTATTCTTTATCGATTTTTATCGGTTTTGAGTTACGAATAATCATCATAAATATTAGAATTATTGTTGAGTCTTATCATTAGTATTGAATTTGTAAAAATTAAGTTAAAAAGTTTTATATACTTAATTGTTAACTCGATTGTAAATATTTTTTTTACTTAGCTAACAAAGTATTAGACAATAGTTCGTACTTTAAATTGGATAAAATGTGTGATAAATTTGAATATTTTCAAATTTTTAATGAAGGTTCACGCACTCTAGAACACATAAATAACGATAAAAAAATAACTTATGCTTGCATATAAATATGCTGAAAGTGTTAACTATTTATTGATGCCAAAAAGTTTTGCCTTAAAATTTGCATCTACTAAATGTTTTATAAGTGTTTTTTTCAAGTGCCACATACTTTAAAAAAAAGTTTTATATGCCTTATTAATTAAAAAAAAGTACTATGAAAGTAAAATGAAATATTTTCTATATGTTTACTAAAACGTAACATTTTAATAAATTGCCTTACATTGTGAACATTAAAATACTTTCAAATGCCTGTGACTTTCACAAAAGAAGTAGACTGAAATTTATTTTTCAAATTTTGTAAAAAAAATTGTTTTTAATAGCGAATTGGTTAAAATTTTATTCTCAACCAATTTAATTGATGTACATGAAAAAGAGAAAGGAGTATTTTCTTTGCCTAGAAAAATGTGTCTTAGCCAACGTAACAATATTTATAAAAAAATATGTATGACAATAATATTACATAAATGTAAACTAAAAAATTTGATCTTATACGACATGTAAACTGATTAAATGTGATGTGTATGTATAAACACCCTATATGAAAGTTATTATACGTAAAGCCGAATTTTTACAATTATTAGAAACGTTACTATACGATTCAAGTCGAATGCTTGGCATATAATAAGTAACGTCGTTTTGTCAAAGATATCATTGAGTCCTAATATGTATCTTTTCTTCGGTTGATTTGTACGTATACTCTTATATCTATGTCGAAACCTGGTAATTAATTTTCAGAAAGTCAAGATATAACTTGTGTTTCTGTTCGATTCAGTATTTACAATCTTGCTATAATAACGAATAAATATTTGTGTACAAATACAAATAACTAAATCGAAAACAGTAATGGTGGATTTTTTTCTTTTACCCGTTTCCTACCAACCTAAAAGACATTCATAATAATTTTAAAAAGTAAAAACAATTGATGCATGTTTAATGAAAAATGTATGCTTTATTTAAATTCTTTACAATGTTATACTCACATTAAAGTAACACAAGAATGATGTTTACAATTATTTTCCATTCATTTTTTTTTCAACACATGCCCACACGCGTTTGAAAGCTTTTTTCTTCCTTACATAGTCGGGAAAAAAAGTTCGTCGGTACTCAGAGGCAATTGGTCAGTATGCGTCATTATTTTAATTGCTAGTATGTATCGATAGAAAATTATAATCGTAATAGTTTTTATGCAATAGTATGACGAAAAATGTCTTTTTCGCACATTTTGTAGTCCGCAAAAAGCGTTTTTGGACACTTGTGTGCGGTAAAATGCTCCATTTTGAACACGGGAGTGCGGTAAAACGCCTTTAGATTTACATGAACGAATTTTTCGTCTACTATTGCATAAAATTTTGTATGCAACACGTGTCCAGCTTTTTGCGCACAGTGTGCGGGAAAAAACACGAGTGCCGGCTATGCCTCGTGCCCAAAAACGCCTTTTGGGCACTTGTTACATAAAGAACTATTTTTTTTTTCATTAATGTAATCATTTGCGAATGCAAAATCATACGTTTAACCCGATAAATCATCAGTTCGTGCGTGATAACTTATCGTTAAAGAATTTCACAACGTATAGACTAAAATTTAAACGGGAATTAAGAACAATTTTTCCTAAACAACCTTCTATTGGTATGGTTGAGCATTTAATTAATACAATATATTACATTGGTACTAATAATTCATGACGTTTTTTTTCTTTTATGCTGAGTCGATAGAAAAAATATAATTTTTTAAATCTTTTCTTAGTTCTTCCGTAAGTTCCCACCTCACTCTTTTCACATTTCAGACAATATATACAATTGATAGAGTTAGTGTTCATAGCGCAATTCAATGTACAACCATATAGCTTGAGAATCATTTTTGCCCTTTCTTTATTGCCTGGTTTGGAGGATTCCATACCATTCTCGATTAGATTTTGTAAAAATAATGTCTCGTACATTTTTTTGTTGTGTCCATCGGTGGCTGCTTACATTATTTTTATCATCACTGTTCGAGGAGCTTTTTTTTCATAATATGTATACATTACTGCACGATAGCGTCAATCCATCTCGTTTCGAGTCCCGTCACACTTTATCCCTTTTAAATATTACCCTCTCATTCGCTATCGTTTTTATGAGTTTTTTGAGAATAAAAAAATTATAGTCTATTTACATTGAACTATTATTTCCTCAAGCCCGTAAATGCTGCTCTTAATTTATATCACTTTTAAAACGTGAATGCAATTGCTACGACTACGGATTGGATAACTTTTTTCTTTCAATCGTCCGAAAATAAAACTACAAGTTTTTTTTTCATTCTAAAACTGCACTGTATCTCGTAGTAAAAATATGTTGCCTTTAAATGTCTTAAATAGTGTTATAAAAGATTATTTCCTCTAGATACTTTTTTTCGTGCTAAACTATTTCAATGTAAATGTTTATGCGTTAAAATGTGAATTTGAAGAATAAACGGAGCCATTAGTTACAAAAATCTCACATGGCAGTGAAATTGCGCTTTGATTAAATTTACCTATATCGAATGGCAATTATTCGGCTGACAAATCAAATTGCGAAAGAAACTAGAAGAATTTATCAGTTCGATATTGTATTACAACTAATCAGTTGATGGTGTTTGTTTGAAAAAAGCACACTTATCGTATATTTGATGGTACTTTCAAACTGAATGAAATAGCAAAGTGAATGTTTCAACGATATTATATGTCAAGCTATCTAAACTTTTATTCTTTGATATTGATCAATAGGCGAGGAAAAATTTTATTGGTAAAATGCTTTGAAAGAGAAACCTTGTAAAAGCATTAGGAATGTTTCAAAAGTTCAATCACTTGAGATCAAAACTAGCATTGTTCATCATATCCGTCGAAAAAGTTCGTCCACCTTTGACACCGGGAAATTCTTGATCAGAAAAAACTATTTCGTCTTACACAATTAACTTAGGTTTTTTTGGGAATACTGCCAATCGTTATTTCATAAGTAATGCGCAGAGCAAATGCATACACACAAATGAGTATACGCGTACATCAAAAAGACATTCATTACTTTTTTTCTTTTTATTTACATTACATACAAAGTATTCTCCGTTTCATCAGTAATGTCGCGTTTATAGTACACTTTAGTGGATTTGCAGTCCAGGCAATTATAATGCTCAGTTTGTTCAATTGTCGCAGAAAGAAATTTAATTATAAAAATCTGGATCACGATTAAAATTAGTCTTTTCAACTCTTTGAACAGTGCAACTTATTTTTTGCTTAATTTTAATATGGTAATAAACATTAATGCGAAGCATTTATTTACACATCGGAGTTCTACTGCTTTTGAAATTTCCAAAAAGTTACAATCGTTACGATCTTCAACAATTTTCTATGGCATGAAACAGTCATAGTTTCCCATGAAATAAGATTTGAACAATGACTTTTTAAATGGCCAATTTGATATTATTTGGGGGTTTGTGAAGCCTGAACTCAATGTAACGCATTTTTAATGTACATAAAGTTTCAGATTTTCTAAAATTTGCATCTTTCATTCACTGTATACAATCATACTCACATTAGCTTATCTTTAATATGAAACAACAAATCATTTAAAGATGCATAAAACGTACACTTGGCGTTTAAGATTAGACTTAGTGCTGTGGCATATATCGACAACTTCATTTTTTATACCTTATCGATTATAAATTCTAGCCTATTCGTATTTATAATAATTATACACGATATTTATAGTTCACAACAATCGCAATAGAAGTGATAAATTATGTAAAATACTCAACTGAGCAATGATGTAATTTTAATGATTCATGCTGGCAGCACAAATAACAACTAGTAATATAAATACTAAAAAGTTTTAATTTTTTTTTTAATATCACCATCAAGTAACCATAATTTTATGTAATACATGGTCAAAGCTTGATTATTTGATCGAATAATTATTCTGCTCTCAACATTAGTTCATTTTAATAAAAATCGTCGCAGAAGAAATGTTCATAGTTTCTAAGTATTATTTCATAACGTTACAAGAGATCAAATAAATGACCCGAATAGTTTGGTAATTATTAACTACAACTGCTTTGGCAAGTCCTCGAGATATTTAGATTCAAAGTTAAACTTAAAAGGATATATTATATATCACTTGCACGAAAATATTGTTCTACCTCGTTAATCGAGGTCAGAAGTCATTCATACACACTGTTAATAACACCTTTGAAAATTGCACTATGGTATTCCATTATTACATTGAAACGTTGTGCGTACACTCGCTTTTTTTACTGAACGAAGTGTTAATTAGTTTATAATTCGCGTAAGAATTTGCCAAAGATTAGTCGCGAACTTTTCTCGTCTGTAAAAGAAAAGATTAGAAAATGTCTAGGCTATCTAAATATTATATGACGCTAGCGAAATGCAACGTAGGCGCAACTCTCAATATGAGCAAGTGAAACCTGTTACATTCTTTTATGGAATTTTTTTAATTAAAAATATTCATCGTTCAATCGAGCAAATGGCCATTTAATTATTTGTCGTCAACGGAGTAGGAAAACGTCACAGATAGTATATATAGTTTGCTTGCAGCTTGTATATTCACTCTGAAACGCACGAAATAGGCAAACTTGTAACACTTTATAATACAAAATGAACGCACGATAAAGAAATATAAAAAGTACAAAAATTATCAAAACATTCATGTTAAAAAATCAATTTACGAAAAAGAAAGAACACAATAGGTTGCTCTCCATGCAAGGAGACTTAAACATTAAAGGAGATTGATTCTTGAACATATAGTAGTAGATATACTAAATATATTTGTACAAAAAAAACGTATCGCTGAGAAACTTAGTCACGACTTATGCATTAATATACAATAACAAATTGCGCGAACCACGCACGACAAAAGATCGGAAAATATTGTTTGTTTTTTTTCTTCCTTTTCGTCGATCGCGAAGGCGTAGGTAGAGTATCTTTATCTTGTTCTTCATTATATCTTTTACGCGTGGTTGTAGCTAACCAGCTTGGACAAACTGTAGATCTCTTGAGCCATTAGAGCATCGTAGAAAAGATGGTCTGGAGAATCTGGCCTGGACGTGCGTCAGACCTTGTGGTTCCTCATCTCGTAGGCGGAGCCGCGGCTACCGGGCGTATAGGCCCCGGCATAGAGCTCGGGGTGGTGATGATGAGGCCCGGCGGACCTGTGGTGATGACGGCCCCCGCCGCCGCCGCCGTGACCACCACCGGCGGATGATGATGACGTGGATGGGCGACTGGATGGTGCGCTGCCGGGTGGCGCACTAGCTGTGGGAACCGAGCGATATCCTGCGTGTCAATGTAATAACAAACATGGTTTTGGCATGCCAACACATAATATTTACAAAACTCTTTTTTTCAGGCTGGCTTTCGTAAGACTAAGATATAAGTGAGCAAAAAAAAATATCCTATGTAAATATTGCACTGTGCCTTTCGCCGGCAACCGAAAATTTTTTAGACTATATACTTTGTGCTTACGATAACTAGAGCTGATTTTTTACTGTTTTTTTTCTTGTTCAAAATAAATTGCATATAATATTGAAGCGTTACAAAGCGTTGTTAAGAGCTGACTATTGCCAATTTTATTTTTGAGCTTATTAAATGCGACTATGCGATGAATCATGCAATTAGAAGCGTATGAATAATGAAGAGAAATGTTTTTTGTTTAGAAAAAATTAATTTTTCCAGGCCCCAGCTCTCACCTCTGTAGCTGTTATTATGATAGCGCCAATTGATGTGATGATAGCATCAACAATGAATGCGAGAGGAGAATGTGAAAAAGTAAAAAAAAAGTTTTCATTTTATAAAAAGATCACAACAACATCGAAGAAACAACGTGTGCAGACGACGATTATCATTTAGATTAGTTATTTCAAAGAGCCGTAAGATGATTATTCCAATGAATATATATAGTAAAAGACCAAGAGAGTTAGAGGTAGTAACGAATTTTTGGAAAAGTGTTGCGCCAATCGTTAGTTCACACGAAGCAAAATATCAAGGTAGCTTTACCTTTGGGATAGTACTGCGCGGCTCGTCCGTCTGGATAGTGCGAGTGACCCCGTGAACTATGTCCACCTTGTCTGGAATGCCCGCTGCGACCACCGCCGCCGTCTCGACCCCCGCCTCCGTGATGATGCCGCTGTAATGAAATTTCGGGTATGAGTATGAGACCCCCTCGCTCTAATCGCGCGAAATACTCGCTTTGCGCGAACTCGCGAGATACTTACCATTCTTCTGAGAGTGTTCATCGGCCTTCTCAAGGTATCACCAATGTGTCGCGCCGGTGGCTTTTTAGGATTGCTCGACGGCGTGTGTACGGCGCAGCACTTGATGAATATTCCCATGAAAATGATGAATCCGATTCCCATGAGCAGTACGGCCCACCAGTAGTCCTGATGAAGAAGATTATAATTTTAGTTTCGATCGTCAAAATTCAAGTCGAACGATGCTGAATAATCATACCGTAATCCACTTGGCAACACCTCGTAACGTGTCTTCGTTGAGTAAGAGATTTTTCAGACGAGCCAGAGGCCCCTCGGCGTCGACGGCTCGACACTTGAGAAAAACGTCGCAGTAGCCCTGGAAGTTGTCGCAGGGCGAGCCGGGCCTCAGACTGATACCGCCCTTGGTGAGATTCACAAGATGAGCGAACTCGCTCGTGCTGCGACAGGTCGAGCCGTCGGTGCCGTTCTGACAGGCCAGCTCGCAGAGCTTGCGCTTGTCTATGTTGGGTATGAGCTGACTGGACAGGAAGCACTCGGTGAGATTCCACTCGAGGCATATGGATCCGGTGCACTCGCCGTTGATGCAGAGCTGCGTGCCCTCGTTGCAGCGCGTCTTGTTGGCCTTGGGCATCGGGGCCGGACAGTCGGGGCTGCGGCCGTTGCACATGGACGCGTAGCTGCAGTCGGACTCGGCCTTGCACTGCACCCTATCGCGCAGCGGCACGAAGCTGCAGGTGTCGCTGGCGCAGCAGGGCCCTTGGCTCGGGCTGCACTGGGTGCCGTGCTTGCGCGTGCAGCCCTTCGCCGTCTGGTTCTTGATGCGCTCGAGCACGCTGACCTGCCTGGGATAGCAGCAGCGGTCGGCGCACTCGTCGTCGTCGTAGCCGCAGTCGCACTCCTCGCCCTCCTCGACGATCTTGTTGCCGCAGAAGGCCCCGGCCGAGGCGTTGAAGCAGTTGCGCTTCTTGTTGTCCACGATGGCGTCCAGGACGTTGCTGATGTTGCCGATGCTGCACTTGCTGAACTTGCTGTTGTTGGGCCTGTCGCCCGAGGTGGCCGAGGCGAACATGATGTAGTTGCCCTCGAGGCCGCCGGGCTTGCAGTCGGCCGGATAGTCGTGCGGCGAGCCGAAGTTGTGCCCGATCTCGTGGGCGAGCGTCAGTTGCGAGACTTTCGGTGGCACTCGGCTGTTGTAGTTGACGAAGGTGATGATGCCCGTGTTGAGGGAGCGTTTGGTCGACTGGTACATGCCGGCCACCGTCTCGGTGTACGTCTTGTAGCGCTCGCAGATGCCGCCCGACGCACCGGAGGCCGATGCTACCCAAGCCAGACCCAGTGTACCGCCAGTGAAATCTCTGCAAAATTAACACGCATTATTTAGTACGATATCTCGAGCAGTTTTTACATTCCAAAAATTATCCAACTTATGCGCGACGCTATTCAGGCCGTTCGCCTGTACTCTGTCTTATCTGGCTCTGGGCTCTCTTTACCCACCAAAAATTTTAATTGGTTCAATAAAAACCGGTTCACGATGATAATGCTGATAATGGCATATTAAAATTTTACAAGATTGTGCATGTGTAATAAAAAAAAAAAAGGAACTCAACCAACCGATAGGTAAACACGTATGCGAGACAAAAGTCCTCGTGATTGCCCAACGAGTGCAAATTGAGAAAGTTGCTGACGTCGATGTTCTCCATGCAGAATGGATTTGGATCGCCATAGCCCTGCGCCTGTTCGCATGCGCTGTCGTCATCGATCTGCAAAGTTGAGAAACGAAAAGCAGGTGAAATTAGTATGTAAAGTCACTTCGTAATTGCGTCGCAGTTGAACGATATTATATAAATTGACTCAAGAAAGTAGAGATTTTCAGAAAAAAAAAGTATAAAGATCAACGGCACGAGGGGGTTGTTCGCCTCGCTAATGCACCGTTATAATGCTCTTTGTCTACCGATGGAAAATCATTCCGGTCGCGTTTTTACAGTAATAGAGATCGGCTCTCGATTCGAGAGGGAGAAATATAAAAAAAGCTTTTTACCTTTATCCTCTGCACCTCGAACTTGATATTTCTGTGCTCGATTTTCCCATCGAATTTGGTATCTCTGTAAATGTAATTGACCGCCGTGACGTGATGCGCGATCAGCGAGAGTATCTCCTCTCGAGTTTTATCGTCGTCGTGATTCATCTGTGAAAAAAAAAGTAACAAAAGATTAACAGCAACAACAACAAAATGTTAGTTTTTTTTATTCCGTTTGTATTTTTTATTCGATCAAAAATAAAAATAAAAATTCGGTATCGCTTTTAAAGCCCACCCCCCATGGTGCACAAGAACGCGCGGAATTCGCGCGCTATGCGATACGAGCACGATGCAACAACACAGAACAGAACAGAACTGAACTGCAGCCAATAGAAAATGAGCGTCGGGCTGCACGCTACGGCGTCGGAGAGAGATATTTGCGCTATTTTTATACGATATGAATAACGCGAGATCCGCGAGCGCGGCGAGTTCGCTCGACGTTTCGTCAATATTATGGAAAAGCGCACGGAGAGACAGGATCGATCCCCGCATCCGCGCGTACAAAAGCCTTTTGCGAATTTTCCTCCGTCGCAGCGGAACGCGAGTATCGTGTATAATTCAATAAAGTCGCGTGAGGTCTAATATTAGTAGAGAGAGAGAGAGAGAGAGAGAGAGAGAGAGAGATACTTTGGAAGAGGTGCATCGACACGAAAAGTTATTACAATTTTCTCTGTGCACGAGTGTGTGCGTTAGAGAATTCGACGCGAGACACAAGGACTCGAAATCCTTTAATGGGCAAGGTACATTAATTAAATTAATTTAGTCGGGCGAAAGATAGGAGCTTTTGTGCTTTGTGTGTACACGAGTTAGACACTCGTGGAATCGCGCAGTACAGGTCAAAAGAAACTCTCTCTCTCTCTCTCTTGCTTCTCCCATTATATTCTGGTCAGTTCGAGCGTATACCTATACGCTTCTTTCTTTATTTTTTCGCTCCTATCGCAACAAAAGCTCGTATAGTAGGTGAGAGGCACCTCCCATTGTCTGCACAAATAGTCTCTATCTATCTCGAACCCCATACAGAAAAGGAAGAAAAAAAATCATATATATACTGTCGCGTGTACCTGGTCGTGTATGTGTCGCCAAATGAGCGGATCCGTCTGTATGAATAACGAGCAGGTGTTCTTTTTCGTCGTGTCCTCTTGGGGCTTGGCCGCCCTCCTCGTCCTGCTCGAGCCCGAAGTCGGCGAGTTGGCCTCGCGGCTGTACTTGTAACTCGAGCTGCTGGCGCCGCCGGCCTCGTCGTGCCAGAACGGGCCGGAATCGTGATGCTTGCCCGAGTCCGCGGCCGGTGCGGGCGGCAACGTGTCCTGCTCGCCCGACTGCTGAATCCTGTCCATCCACTGGACGACCTCGTCCGTGACGCCGCAGCCGCTGGCATCGCCTGGAATTCCATTGGATTCGGGTGATTAGGTTTTTGCTTTTGTTGGAGGATATAGTAGGTCACTTTACGCGCGGTATGCTTTAGCGCATAAACGTGTATTAAGTAACATCGTGTACTACAGACGTATGCATGAAATCCGCGGGCAACCGTGACCCAGTTCCAAGTGTGCTGTTTTGCTGAAACGACGCCAACAGCAGCAGCAGCAGCTGATTGTGTCCGATGCCGCGCGCGCTCAAATCAGGATAGCTCTCGAGTAGCAGCAACTTTTTATGCAGTTGTAAAAAAAAAAAAAAAAAAGAAAAAAAGCAGCCGGAAAACGCGCTCGCAGGAGTGGGATTCATTTAATTCTCGTTACTTCCGTTCGCTATATCGTTATTGTTGCTATGTGCTGCTGCTGCGTTCTTTATTTTTTTTTGTTTTACCTTGTTGTAAACCGAGCGAGAAACAAAGGGCACTTGGCGCGCACTTGCCTGTGTATAACGCGATTGTAATGACGCGCGGCGCGACGACACGACGACAACAATAATTATTTTTATGCGCAAAAAGTTTGACGATAAATAGAAACGTGATTTGAACGATTAAATTTACAAAAGTAAAAAAAAAACGAATTATTATTATTTTGTTCCACCGAGTAAGCAAGATTGACTGCACCAGCAGCACCAGCAGCAGCAGGAGTATCGCGACCGATTTTTTTTTCCCGAAAAATTTGCAGTTCGTTGAACATCATCGAATTAGTAATGCAAAGTATTTCCGCTGCATGAAGTATCAAGAATCATCGTCGCGGCGCGGTGCGCGGTAATGCGCATCGGTGGCGCTGATACAGCGCTCGACTCCACTCTCTGTATGTGCACCAACGAAAAAAAAATTTTAAACAAGTTCTCACGAGGCCGCTGCTGCCTCGGTGGCACTTAATTGACGCGTAATCGAAATTTTTTCGCCATCATAGAGTATACGTAATATTATGTAGTTTTTACGAGCGACTGGTCACTGGATGAGAAATCTCTCTCGTTTCTGCAGCAGTGCCTCCATTGCATACACAAATACAGAATAGTTGTATACACGTTTCACAGTCGAGCAGATATAGTATAGTTTTCTTCAACCCAGTGCTAGTATAATGTTGTTTTTTTACATTGAAAAAGTCACGGTCTTTGCGCACGACGACGAGTGGACGCCGGACACCGACCTTTCAGTCGGGAAGGTGTATTGTATACTTTGTCGTACACAGTTCTCTGAGAGTAGTGTATTTTTATCAATAATTTGACCAAAAACAATATTGAAAAAAAAAAGATGTACAGAAGTTTGTAATTCGTAAAGCGAGAAAAGTGTCGACTGTAATTTTCCTTGATCCCAAAGAAACGGAGAAATAAAGAAAATTGAAAAATTGAGCGATGAAAAGAAAAATTCCCCGATTTTTTATATTTTACAATTTTTCTTCCATTAAATCAAATTAATATTTTCATCTTTTTCCTCGGGTCTTCTCTTCGCTCTTTGTGTTGCCTCGAAACCATAGCGGTTTTCCAGAAAGAGACAAAGGGGGAGTTATAGAAAGATCTTTTGAAACGCGCGACAAGAGGAGGAGTAGACGCGAGCGAGCAATAGAGAACAAAAAGCCACTGGAAAACATCTGAATCCTCTAAGCAACTTACGAGTCACATACGTATATAACATAAAGTACTGCGCGGAGAGTCGATCGAGACGTCGATTCCCTCCTCTCCTCCTCTCGACTATCTCTCTCGTTATAATACCGAAAATAAAAAAATCGATAAGAGACCAGAAGCTAAGACGCGTTTCTTTATGCAACTATTTTATCGCAAAGCGCAAACATCGATTCATCACTGTTTGTAAGGAGAGAGAAAAAAAAAGTCAACATCTTCCGTATACTTTTTTCATTTTTTTCATGCTTCTGCGAGAGAGAAGAAATCATAATAACAATTTTAAATGAACCACCACAAGCGCGCGAACGAACGAAGGAACTTTGTTCAGAGAGTTGAAGTTTTTCGAGTGAGGCAAATTATACTAAGATGCGCGTGGATAACAGATGGTTCGCTTGTAAATGCAAAACTTGCCTCTCTCTCTCTCTCGAACGAACGAACGAACGAACGAAGTTTCGTACGCAAAATTACCAACACAAACAATGCGCAAGTGCGGCCCCAGTGCCACTCGATATCTTTTGAATAATAATGATTTTAAGCACAAAAAGAAATCAGACTTCCCTGTGACTGTTCACACACATACACACACAAGCAAAATGTGATCAACGATAATAAAGAAAAAAAAAAGTCATCGTATGATCATAAATTCATAAATACCTTTTCTCACTGTCGCGTAGGGATCCTCGACGTCGGCCTCGTGGTAGATGACCGAGTGCACCGTGTCGTTGCGCTCGTGCGGCGGGAAATAATAGTGCGACTTCTCCACGTACCAGGCGCCGTCGCGCGGCGACACGATTTTGCCGTGAAAAATTCCATCGCTACTTATGCTACCGAATACATGACTATTGGGTTCACCTGCAACGAGAAAAATAGGAAAATGTATCAAAAAAATCCATCATCGTATAATCGTCATTTATCATTGGCCAAGAGCCATTACCGGTAAAAAAAAAAAAAAAAAAAAGAAAAAGAAAACAAAGAAAAAGAGAGAAGATGAAAAATCTCTGGTACTCGAGCAGCGTATACGCGCGTTCTGTGTGTCTAAGTAAGTTTACAATATCTGTAGACGTGTATATATATGGTTGATTCTCCTGAAATCTGCTTTTTGCATGTCTTTATGCCATATTTTTAAACTAGTGAAGATGAGCCAAAACTAGCTCGGTCATTCATTCAATATTGTTGTATTCTTCATGATAGGACATAAATATTTCAATTTTTTAGGGTCAGTTAAATTTGCCGTGAAGATATACATGCCAAATGTCACCTCCGTGGCATGTCTACATCTCAAAATCAACTCTATTTGCATGTACCATGCATTCTCATTAGCACCTGACCCTATAATAACTACGAGACCAGCTTCTATACATCCAGAGTAAAGTTTAAGTCTATTATAGGGCTTTGAAAAATGTTTTAAAAAAATTTCCCACGCAATTGAAAAATGTCTCGGATTTTAATCATGCTTCTGAATAATTTCAAACATACCGCCTGCTTTGGGTCGCTAACTCATTTTTGATGTCGCTAGATACGTAAATGTCAAGTATTATAGCCCAACTTTCGATTGGTGTAGGTTGCGGGTTCAAATTTTACATTTTATCGATGCTGCGATAATTATTCTATTGAAAAATTTGCGTGTGTCAAAAAAACGGTCACCTCCGTGGACATGAATATCTCGAGCTATGATCATTCTTTTTAACCGCTCGCCCCGTCAAAAGACTCGTTTTTCATGACCAAATTTCGGGTTGTGCGGAAAATTTTGTGCGTTTCATATTTTTCTTACATAGTTGATCAAAGCAGCGATTTGTCACCTCCGTGTGTGTCACCTCCGTAACCGAAAATAGTCGATTTTAAGCATAAAATCGGACATAGTTTTCGTAAAACGAAATCTCAAAGCCCCAGATTCAATAATTATTCATATTTTATGGTTTAAAAAAGGGTAAACTAGTTCGCGCCGTTCAATATGACAAAAAAATTTTCACCATTTTTTCGTTTTCCATACCCGAAAAAGCAGATTTCGGGAGAATCAACCATATACGTTACTCTCGAGGTATAAGGTCAAAGTGCGGCCAACCTAAATCTTTCGTCCAGCAGCTAAAGCTCTCTCTCTCTCTCTCTCTCTCTCTCTCGTCCAAAGCTGCTGCTGCTTCTGCTATATAACAGCAACACACACACACACACACACACACACACACACACACATGCGCCCGCGCGGAAGAACGAGAGAGAAAATCTAGAGCGTCGTTCTAGTTAAACGAGCTCGCAGAAATGCTGCTGCGCGCGAGCACAAGCACAAGCACTGCTGCATCCCGAAACGCACCACCGAGTGTATACGTTTATATAGTATATACAGACACGAGACTCTTATACATATAATGCTTACAAGGGTAGGGGGTAAGTGAGAGAGAAAGAGAGAGTATACAGAGAAAAATCAATCGCGGCTGCGGTGCGCTAGTTTTGCTTGCCGTCGTCGTCTCGTTCGGTTGAATAATATACCTTCGTAATTAAAGAACGATTCCCTTTTTTCTCTCTCTCTCTCTGTCTCTCTCTCTCGATTCGTTTAAAAATCCACGCGCGCGATAACAACTGTGCGGGCCACACAGCCGACGACGGATCAAGCATGCAATACCGCACAAGCTCGTGTTTAATGTTTCCGCGCGGTCTGGCTGCACGATATAGATAGAGAGAGAGAGAGAGAGAGAGAGAGAGAGAGAGAGAGAGATTACGATCGCGCGCCGCGGGTTTTCGAGTGCGGCCCTGTAGCAGCCGATGCTACTCCCGTATTCCGATCAGGCGTAAAGTGCAATCGTCTCTCTCTCTCTCGAAAGCGCATGAATTCGAGATAAGCCACAGCCGAGATTCCCGAGTTTTCCGAAAAACTTTTTTGAGCTTTTTTCCTATATATACATCGATCTAATTTTATAATGGAAAGAAATGATACATACCGACTAGGTGTCCTTGATAAATGTGCGACGTGTCGAGCTCCTCTTTATCATTGGAGGGCCCTACGACCACCAGCTTCTCGCTGAACGTGCTCACGTCCCGCTTCAGCCTCAGCCTGAAATCTCGGCCGTGGGCGCGAAAACGCAGATTCAGCGCCAGATCGCCCCTGGCACCGGCTGCGGAGCGCCTCGCGCGCTGATGATGACGATTCAGCTCCGCCGCGTCGTAGGTCAGAGGCTCGTAGTGCCGGATGTACTCGTTCAGCCGTATCGCTGTGCAGACGGATGAAAAAAGAAAACAATGCGAAACGTTAATTCGATTATGTAGCAGTTGAAATATAATCAGTTGCGTTTTAATGTTTGTCTAGGTAAAGAGCATGTATACAATTATAGGATTATGCCGCCGCCGCCGCCGCCTGTCTGGCTGTCTGCCTCGTTAAAAAAGCAGCGGTGCGCATATTAAGAAAAGGAAGTGCGGTTTTGCGCAGCGCAGGAGTAGTTACGACACATCTCGTATCTATTGTCTAATAGGAAAAGCCTAGAGACGCCAAGGCGCTGAAGCTATGCGAGCCTTCGTGCATGCTTATAACGCGTACTTCGAGCGGGATAAAGAGAGGGACAAACTCTTATTTCTTTCTTATTTTTTTTTTTAATTAATTAATCGTGACGTGGCGCATTGCGCTGCAGCTGCTGTTTCGGTGTAAACAATGGGGGCTTTATAGTTAACGCGTAAAACATGGAAATGCCATTATTCTCGTTGAGAACATTTTTGTAACTTTACTCTTTGAGCTTTCATCGTTTACGGATTACGAAGCTCGATTTCAACTTCGCAATTTAGACGCGAGAGAAAAGTGTCGATTACATTTTCTGATAATTATTAATAAGTAAATGGGAGGCGATCGATCGTCGCCCTTCGGAATTCGAACTAAAAATCGAATGAAAAATCGCATCGATCATGATCCGTCCACAGCTTACACCCGCATCGGTGGTGTGAACGACCTCTCTTCTCTCCGTGCAATTATATCTTTGTGTAATATCGACTCGCTACGGAATATATATCGTACCGTCGAGCACACGTGATTTTTTACCTTATTTCTCTCTCGATATGATACGAGAGTTTCCTGCGAACGAACCCATTGAGAGGGCAATAATTAACACGACGTAATGTAATAATATGTAGTACACGCGCGCGCGACGACAGAATTTCAAGGCAATTCCAACGTGTAAAATACCGCGCAGAGAGGAGAGCACATATTCGCATTCGAATTTTATATTCGCATCTAAAATTATTTTGCGCGTATCGTTCAAAATAAATACACGAGAAAATTACAGTAGCGCGAGCTTCGATCCTGTATATAAATTCGGGAATAATTAATCAAGCATCAACTGCCTATTGCTATGGTATTTTGCCAAATTATTCGCGAATCGATTCTATTTTTTTAACCCTTCTACATAAAGGTACACACGCACACACACACACAGACACACACACATAACGAAATATAGACTCGCGAGCCGAAGAATTCGAACTATACGCGCTACATGGGAAACGTAACAAAGCGCGAGTTATGTTTATTACTAAACGCCCGCAGCGGCAGCAACTACGGCGGCAGTCCCGTTACAAATAGCCACGTACATATATATACATGCACGAGAGGAGTAGAGGCTTCAGGTCATTCCATCCTAGTTGCTCTTTTCTCTCTCTCTCTATGCTTATGCATATATATACATCGGTAGAAAATACCACCATCCCACAGAGCTACGTAGCCTATATCCACTACACAGAGAGGACCGAGTTATATACATAGTGAGTGAAGGAGTGTGAGAGGCAGAAAAGCTGGACGTGTTGTTCTCTCTGTGTGTAGCACACGCGGCTAGGTCCATTGTTTCGACGTATATAGCTGTGTTGGCCCTCCAGCAGCAGCAGCAGCATAAGAAGGCCCGATCGATATGCGCACCTATATTTATATATACCTGTGCACATTACAGCAGCAGCAATTTGTGCGTGTGCACGCGAGAGAGATACATCGATTCGATCATCGTAAATCCCTCCCCGGTATGCATCGCGCGTGTATATTACCGCGTATTTCACATTTTTTTCTCCTATGAATGCGTGCGTATCTATCTCTCTTCTTCCGCTTGTCGAAAGTTTCGATTAAACAGAGCGCGACGCGTGTCTGTGTATGTGTGTGCCACTGTTCGATCGTGCCCTCGATCCTGAACGCGTCACGCGGTCGTTATTTTTCTCTCCAAGGTTCGGCGAGGGCCGATGGGGGCTTTCCCTAACATAATGCATAAAGCACGATAAACGTTAAAAATACCCAAGTGTGTAGTACCTGTGTGTCCGGTCGTAATTTTCACGAAAAATTTCTCTCCTATCGTTTTACAGCAGTAGCAGTAGTAGGTAGGTAGGTAGATAGGTAGGTAGTGGAGGATATAATTAATGGGCGTGCGCTATTTGCGAAAGGAACGCGACTGCCTATTATTAGCGAAGAGCGACAAATGCAACGAGGAAAAAAGTAGTAGTCGTCCTGTAGCGGCACCTATTTTCCTCGACTTCATTGTACGTAGTTATTTACAAATACGAACACAAACGCTAAAGAATTTTTCGTACGTACATACGGTTTCGCGACTGCACGGAAATACGAAGCTAAATTGAAATCTAGTTTTCTTTTTTCGAGAGCCCGGAGAACGTAATGAAGATTTTATCCTCAAATCGGAGCACAAATTTTCATTTCGAAAAAATATTTCACTGACATTTTTTATTAGGATTCACCCTGCGGTGGTTGCTTTTTGCGAAATTTCACAATTTGTAATATTCAATGAGATATCACGATTCACCGTGTGCAACACGCACATTTTTGCCGTGCTTTTAAATCCAAAAATGTCGTATTTACTATATACATAATATATGTGCACTCGCACGCTGCATTTTCAACAATTTATATTACACGTATCCACGAGCTTTATGAAACTCGATCTCACTTCCAAAGGACCGTGTAATATAAATCTGATTCTGCCGCTGCCGTGCAACACGCCTATATTTATATATTAATGCCAAGCTCTGTGGACTGTACAGAAATTCTAGGAAAAAAAAAAAAGATAAAAAAGATAGAGTCGCACTCGGGGTGGCGCAGCAGCATCAGTGCGATCAAATTGAACTCATTTTCGCGCTTCTTTCATCCCTCCCTCTCTCTTTTTATTTATTTACTTTTTTTTTCTCCACTGTACACACTCGGAGCTACTCCGTGCTGCCGTGTTGGATTGTAAGTTTCCATTATACGCGCGAAATAGATTGATACGAGAGTTTCATCCTTCGAAATCAACTCGCAAGCTCGAGCGCACGATTTCTTTTATGGTCGTTTGAAAAAGTAAACTCGAAGCATCTATATACCTGGCGAGCTTGCTGCGGATGAAAAAACAATTTTGCATCGTGAATTTCTTTTTTTTTTTTAATGATTTGTGGATGTAAATATGCCACGCAGATTTATCGTACTCCCATCGACGAAAAAAGAAGATAAAAGCTTCAATGATCTTCGAGTCATTTTTCAGTTTGCTGGTCAAATAACACGTACAATTGATGTGGCTTTATTTGATAACGATTAGAAAGCTTTAATCCAGCAAAATAGGGACGATGTCTATGCTATTTTGTGTTATTGTTGAGTATGTCATACACGAAGGTGGCCTCTTCTATGCTAGATTTACGATTTTTAACTTTTCCTACCGAACACTAGGTGCATTAATTTGGTGCTGCATAGATCATGAAATTTTAAATTCCTATTGGCGATTTTCTCTGCAGTGAATTGATGTTCAAGAATCTGACAAATGAAGATTTATTTTTATTTCATTGGCGGCTGGCTGGTGGCTTGAATTTTACATTTTCCATTTCATTCGAATAAATAAATTGACAGTTTAAATTATTTTTGTCGATCAACCCTCACTATGGTACATTGGAGAAGAGAAGTTCGTCTGGATTTAATGTTATATATATGCGAAAAGCAATGAAAATCAAAGGTAATCGGCTACAGCTGAACCGAACATGACTCGTAATTCTCGTCGAGTCCATACTCGCCTGCAAGAAATCAGGACAACGTCGTATTCTAGAAAGAGATATAAAAAAGTGTCAAATACCGAACTGCGAGTCTCTTATAATTTGTGACACCGTCCTTTTTTTCGAGATTGCAGCTACCTCTCGCGCACACAATGACATCGCACGCGTGTAATATTTTCCATTTCCCGTTTATAAAGTTCTCGTACAGAAAAAGATGAAGAAAAAGAACGAGAGAGAGAGAGAGAGAAGAAAAAAGTGAAACTAGCACGTGTGCAGGTGTACTTATGAACGCTCCAGCGGCATGACCAGTGCGCCATGAACGCTTGCGTGTGTTTTATATACCTATATGTATACTTCTCTCTCGCGGCTTTATAAGTATACGAAGCGAAGCCAAGCCGTCGTCACACAGCGCAGAGCGTGTCATGTACACCACCCAACAGTATATATATATATATATATATATATATAGAGAATTGACTTTCTCTCTCGCTTTGCGCTACAACTGCTCGCGGTGACTGCATAGCTCTGAATTAGTTTATATCGTGTACAATATAGAGAAACGATATGTATTGCATGCGCGAGGTTGAGTCATCGTCGCGGCGCGAGTTGCGCATTTCGTTATTCAATTGTAATTATTTCGAGCGCGATGCGAAGCACCCGAGCGACTGAAAAATCAACGTCGCTTATCGTCGTGTACGAGACATCAATCTTGGAGTTTATCGCGTGAAGCATGTACGTCGCGGGTAATTGTAATGGAGCCATAATTTTGCCGATCCTACGGTTAATGTTTTTTTTTTCTAGATAATTATCAACGAATGTACTACGTGAATATATTACGCGCGTTTTTACGCGTATATACACACGCAGCCTATCAAACTATTATAAGGCTCTCTCTCTCTCTTTCTCGTAGACTCAGTTTGAGGTTGAGTAATTTTTCCTAACCGGATCATGCGAGCGGAGAGAGAGAGAGAAATTTACATTCAATGGACAGTAGGTAAATCACGTGAAACACACATGCGTATAATGCACGTATCCATGAGCCAACCCATATTATACGATACATTGCGCACGGCACAGAACACACTGCCATTTCTTTCTCTCGTGTTCGAGCTTATTTGTTTTTTAACTGTAAAACGCGAAACGCACCTTAGAAAATAAAATCTCTGCTGCTGCTGCTGCTGCCTTCGTGCGCTGCCGAGCTCTGCGCTTCCTTTCTCCCTCC